AGCCTGCTTCTCCCTCTCCCACTCCCCCTGCTTGTGTTCCCTCTCTTGCTGTGTCTCTCTCTGTCAAATAAATAAAATCTTTAAAAAAAAAAACCAAAAACCCAAATTTAGTATCGTGCCCTGGCTTCAAACCCTTCCAAGTTCTCTCTCGGCTCTTGGTAGAAACTGGAAATCCTAAACACGCCCCAGAGGTGTTCTCCACCCTCGCCCCGCAGTCATTCAGGGGCCAGCCAGCCCTGCTTCCCTGAATTCCCTCACTCCCTCTGAGCCTTCTCCTCTCCAAGTCCAGGCACTGGCCGCCTACAAAGCCCATCCCCTGCTCTGGGCCTCCTGAACTCCGCCTCATCCTCCCTGCAGCTCTTACTTTCTCTGACCTTCCTAGGGAAGCCTGCCCCATCCTGGGAGCTGTCTCATGGCTTCTCCCTAGTGGGTGAGAAGTCTCCAAATATGGCAGCTTTTTCATTCAGTCAATCAATACGCTACTACATGCCAAGTACTGGTCTTCGCCTTAAAGCTTCAGCAGAGCACGTTTTGCTTGGGTTTTGGTTTGTTTAGATTTGTGAGGTCCGATATGGCAGCCACTAGTCACCTACAGCTGCTGAGCACTAGAAACGCGGCTGGTGTGAATGAAGAACTGAATCTGTAACGTTATTTACTGTAGATTTCAATTTGAAAACTGATCCTTCAGCAACTGGAAAATCTTTAAGTATGCTCAGAACAACCTGGGCCCGTGAGTCTACTTTTCAGCTGTAACTTTATGAAATCTGAACACAGATCGGATATCCCCAGAGAAAAGTTGGCATCCAAAGTGAAATGTGCTGTGAATATAAAATATAGATCAGATTTCAAAGATCTAGCATGAAAAAAAAAGAATGTGAGATATTTTATTAATAATTTCTGTATTGATTCCACATTGAAATGATAATCTGGCTAAACATGGGGTTAAATAAAATAAATTATTAAAATCCATTTCACCTGTTTCTTTTTACCTTTCTTAATGTGACCACCAGAGAAATTTTAATGACGTATGTGGTTCACGTTATATTTCTAGTGCTAGTGCAGACAGAAGCTGGCACCCTAGTGTTTGGGTGTGGACCCTGATGGGCTGTGAGTTCCTGTGAGGTCAGGGCCCATTAACTCTCATGGTCACTGCTCAGTCACCTCCGCCAGGCACATCATAGTGTCCAAATGATATGGAGGGAAATTCAGTGTATATATGCAGACTGGAACTGTCCATCTCCTATCAAGACCCAAAGTCTACCTCCCAGGAGAACATGAGAGGCCATGTCTGCTCCTGGCCTGCACCTTCTCCCAGGGTTCATTGTCTCTCCTCCTCTGCCAGGGAAGACCACGGGAGGCCTCTCCCACTGCCCCATCCGCAAGCCCAGCACTACCTGGTACTTGAGTTTCCCATCCTTAAAGAGCCGCAGCTGATACTGACGTTCCAGGTTGTCCCCATAAATGTGGCCGAGATCTACCTGAGGACAGAAAGGGGGTCCACTCAGATCACCAGGTGTTGCCTCAGCAGCGATGACCTGCACGTGCTAAGTTAGGTCCAGAGAAGTCCTGAGCCCCTCCTAGGTACTCACCCCATGGCCCAAGGCCTTGGTGAAGCCAGGACCCATCTTGCCAGAAGTTTTGAAGAACTGATGGGTGAAGTGTTGTGCAAAGAAGGCGAACATGAGGTTGGAGCCTTGGGGGTCAGGTATGAACTTCCTCCTGAGCAGGAAGCGACGGCCCAGGAGCTGGGCATCTGGCAACTGCTTCTTCCCTGGTTGGGGAGGTGGGAAGGGGCAGTAGCTGCCTCCTGCCTCAGTCTCCCTGCCCCAGGGCCTTCTGGGCTCACCAGACCAAACAGGTCCACACAGGAAGCCCAGAACAGCCTTCCCTCCTACCGGATGGCCCCTTGCACCTTCTCTACCAAAAGACCCTAGAACTATTTACGGGTGAAATGGCATGATATTTGGAATTTGCTTTAAAATACTCCATAAAAAATAAGAGGGATAGATGAAATAAGATTGGCAAATTATGGGTAGTGTTGAAGAGATGGATACATCTCAACTTCTGTGTGTGTTTGCAACTTTGAAAAGGTTAACCAAAAAGAAAGAAGAAAGAAAAGTAAATAAACCAAGAAGAAAGAAAGAAAGAAAGAACTTGGACTCCCTGGCCCTGGAGCAAGGTACCCTGTGTTTGAAACTGGGTGCGCCACCTGCTGACTGTGTGAACATAGAGAATTTGTTTCATCTCTCTGAGCTGCAGTGTCTTCATCTGTAAAATGGGCAAATGATACCTATTTGATGCAGCATTTTGAGGAGTGCATGAGGTAATGTGAGCATGACTGAGAACTGGTGAGATGGGGTCTTGTAAATCAAAGATCAGCAAACTTCAAACTTCTTCTCTAAGAAGCCAGATTGTCAATATTTTAGGCTTTGCCAACATACGAGCTCTGTCACCATCTACTCTGCTTTGCTGTTGTAACAGGAAAACAGTCATAGATGAGACCTAAACAAATGAGTGTGACTAAGTTCTAATAAAACTTTATTCACAAAACAGGCAGTGGACTGGATTTGGGCTGTGGGCTGGAGTTTGTCAACCTATTTTAAATGATGCCAGTCTTTCTGTCTGGGGTAAAGACAATAGGTCATCTTGAAGCAGGTGTCTGTCATCATGAGAATAAGTATTAGGAGACTTCCCTGGGACACCTGGGTGGCTCAGGTCAGTTAAGCGTCTGCCTTTGGCTCAGGTCATGATCATGAGGTCCTGGGATTGAGCCCCCATGTTGGGCTCCCTGCTCAATGGGGAGTCTGCTTCTCCCTCTCCTTCTGCCCCTCCCCCACCACTTGTGCTCAGTCTCACTCACACACTCTCTCTCTCTCTCAAATAAGTAAATAAAATCTTAAAAAAAAAAAAAGAGCCTTCCTTAATTATGTTAATGTCAGATGAGTCAGTATCCAATGCTCACACAGAAAGGAATAACTGAATTTTTGTGTTTTGGTAAAGATATCCTTTCATAATACCTCAAGTGAGGCCCAGTGTTGAAGGTTCAAGATCAACAGAACCTCCCTGGATTGAGATGGCCAACTGGTTTCCTCTGGCAGGCAAGGAGATCAAGCACCCCAAAGGAAACTCACCAAAAGGGAAGTTGGAGGGAGTGGTCTGCACCCTATAACCTGGAATCATCCCTCAGGTTGACATTGAGCAAGGACTGGTTCCCACAAAGTGCTGGCAGAGTCCAGAAACTCTGCAAGACCCAGCTATCTGGTGGAATAGTCATGCTTTAGGTATGGTCTCTAAACATGGGAGTGCAAACCATCAGAGTAGTTAGTGCCTTCGAGACCCAAGGAAGGACATCAATACAAATGCAAGGTTCTGAGCGGGCAAAAACTCAACAACCACAGGGCTGCACCCGACAGCTGTTCGACAGTGACACCATGTGGCAGGAACAGAAGTGATGGCAGTCATGGACCAATGCCCCTCTTGTCCCCTCTGTACTTGAAGCAGACTTCGTGGCTCTGAACTGAGTAAACCCCTGGGTTTTGGGGCAATCGAGGGTGGAGCGGGAAGAGGGACTAGGGAGGAAAGACTCCTGCCAATGAGACCAAGTGAGGTCTTGGGCAACTAAAGGAAAAAACTCTGACTCTATGTGAAAGCTACACTGAGGAAGCAGGGTAAACTATTTACGTCAGTAAAGAACCAAACACGGAGTTAGCACCCAACAAATAGCATACTACTTCTTTCCTACATTTCAACTTTGAGGTCACCCCCATTCCGGCAGGATCCCACCAGTTCAGGAGACAAGGTTCAAGCAAAGAGGCACCCTGGAAATACAGAAGCACCAGTCTGACTCTGCTCTGGCTTTCTAGGTGATGTCAGCAAGAGTCCCTACCACCCTTTCCTGTCCTCCTTCCCCAACCCTGTCCTTGTCTGTGGTTCTGGATAAGTCATATGTCTTGCCTTGGCCCACCGGTCCGGGAAATGGGTCAATAATTGCTCTTCCGCCTGCTTTTTTCCCAAAGAGAACAGAGCATCTCCTGTGACCCCCAGGCCCAGCCCTCTAACCCCATCTCCGTTACCTTTGGTCCCCATGGGCGTGGGGCAGTCTTGGGGCACAGAGGGCAGAACACGAGTGTAATAGCTCACATTGGAGAAGGACTCCCAGCTGATGTAGTCATGCGCTATGTTGTAGGTGGGGGGGCTGGGGATAAGGTTGGAACGCGCTGCAGGGAAGGGGCGGAAACAGTGGTGACAAGGGGGCTCCCATCCCCAGTCCCACCTCCTTCCCGGCCTCCTCTTGGGTTGGGCTTGTTGAATCTGGCATCATAGTCTCCCCACCCACTGTCCTTATCAGATGCCAAGAATTCCAAGAGCTGGCAAGGTGTCTTGCTCCCCAGATTTGGGGGGGCCCTGCCCTCCACCCACCTGTGAGTACCAGGCGCATGAGCATGTCACGGATGAAGGAGGCATTGATCAACTCCCAGAACCAGCGCCCATGCGTCAGCAGGAAGTGGAGGAAAGAGGGGCTGGGTCGCAGCGAATTCCGGAGCCAGGTCCACAGCTCAGCTGCGGGGGCAGTGGGAGCCAATCAGTCAGGGCCTCCTGGAAGGACCAGAAGTAGCCGGAGGGGAAGATGGGGACTGGAGACAAGGCCAAGATGGAACCAGGTGGAACACAGAGAGCAGGGTAAAGATGGAAGCTCGGGGGAGATGACACATGACAGAGCCAGAAGCAGATGTGAGGGCAGGGGACAGGGCCAGGGTGTGACGTGGGCCAGGAGGAGAGCCTCAGAGCTCAAAGCCAGGTGAGGAAGGAGGACCGAGCAATGGCCAGGGGCGAGGGCAGGAAGTC